ATCTTCATCATTATTACTCAATTGGTTTATGCTAATGTTGTCTCGATTAAAGTTCCATTTGTTACTTAAACGACCCACACTCATCAATCTTTAAATAGGCCCAAACTCAATGTTTGCCTTCGTGCCTCAAATATGTATGCGAACACATATTCCAGAGAGTTTGCCCTTTTTTATCGGTGCTGATGGCAACTATAGTAGATTAGCGTCTAGACGGATGCGGCATTTACTCAACTCTCGCCCTTCGATCCTGTTCGCCCTTTCAACTCGTCGGCTGCTTCGTAAATGCCATTGGTGCGGATTTTAGCACGCATCGCTACATGCCTTCGCACAGTAAAATTATCTGCAACGGATGGGTGTAAAGCTTTGTCGCACAACAAAATCGAACGCAGCGGACCTGTAAACAGGTAATACGTGTAACATCAGGAGAAACGTGACGTCTATAATTCGTTAGTTATACCTAGTATGCGAAAAAATGTTTCTTGGGTATAACAATCTGCCAGACAGAAACGTTGCTTAAAAGTCGCTAAATCCGTAATGTTGTTGCGTCATTTTTATCGGCCCCACTCATACAACACCGATAATTTGTAATGGTATACATAGCTCGCTAGTTTCGTCATCTTTAAATTGAGGGAAAAAATTCGAATTGAGCGCTGTTCCACATCGATCGTAATCGGCCGTAACTTTTACGGCCGATTACGACCGATCATTATGTATTAAATATGGCTTACGGTCGGTATCTTTGTCTTAGCTTTGGATTAACACATAAACGGCTGGCCTTGAGCGATTGCTATTTCTATTCGATGTCATTGACCAGCAGAGATTCCTTTTGAAGTTCTTCCCTAACGGCATATTAACGAAATGTATTATGCTTTAACATCCTATACCTCTGAATAATGGCATTTACGGCATATAAATTGCATATAAATTGCACATTGAAATGCTATGAAAAGCAATCGCTTTCATAGCTACAAACTTAAAGCGTGGTCGATGATACCCTGGGCAGGGTTTGTGCACTCGCCGTTTGCACTTTATGGGCACACTATAGTTCCTGTAAAGGCACGTAGCGGTTCCACGGCACCAGCGGAAAACATAGCCTATCAATCACACGATAATCAAGGGCCCTTGTTTTTTGTAGAGAAAGATGGAAATCTTCCATTAGAATACACTCTGCTTTGGATGATCTAAAATAGTTACTTGTTTGCTAATGAACAACGCTTCATAGAAACCTAGCCAGCTAGCTAGCGAAGGTTTAGTCTCTCTTTGTCTAAGAGATGAATATTCTAATGTTGTCTCAATTACAGATTAAAAAGCTTGGTAGAATCGGATCGTAAGACTCGGTGATAAGGCTCCTTATCGATCTTCCCACCAGTTTCTGATTTTCGTTGGTTCGGCCATTGGACTCTCGAAAGCCGTCCACTTCCTTTCGCGGTCGCAGCTGATGTGTTTGATGCGCGAGGCCACTAGTAGACGAGGATGTGAACAGGAACAGGATAAGTCGTTGAAGCCCTTGCATCATACAGACCTTGCACCTCTGTCGTGTATATATTCAGTATGTGCAAGCAGATGAATCTTCTTCCCACGCAAATTTCGAGCAGCATGCCGCGGATTGTATAGATCTACAGCGGAATTGGGCCGCCAGCAGCTGCAACATTCGTTGGGGGCACATGACTAAGGCGCTGCCTCGGTAGCAACGACAAAAAAGTACGCACATATTCTACCCATGAATCTTTCTGACTTATCTACGTTTGCTTGCAGTGAGAAAAAAAAAACATGCAGGAATAGCTGACATCTAAAAGTCGTATAGTCCTCATGGTATTGACAGAGTTAGGATCTGTCAGAACGCAATCAGTAAGTAGGAAAAGCACAACCGATTCTCCATGCAAGCCCCGCTTGACAGCTTTTCTGGCACAGACAAATCTCTATGACGAAGCAAAATCGGATAGAGAACGACAACAAGATGAAATAGTAATGGTTATTGATCCTATTGTATACATTTCAGATAAATCTTTAGCATAGATTTAGTAATGAAGTTAATGCAGATAGTGCTAGAACATGCTTCAAATGCAATATTCGAAAGGCACTGCGAGCAGAAAAATGTCTTAATTCAATAGTGTAGTTAATGAAACCTTGTATTGTCGCATGTAGTACACTGTGCTTTTGAGAACTCCTCGAGGTCTTTCCTCGTTGTTGTAACTACGTCTGGACGAGCACGTAACTTTAAGTTTGCTAAAAATTCCAAACACTCACGTAGGAGATAATCAGAGCCTGAATAAATTCAAACGATATCACCAATAAAAGCCCTAATGTGAGAGCAGCAGTGCTCATATATTTTTCAAGGTAATTACCTTTATGAATAAAAAAAAAAGGATCTGTGTTTCCTCTGTGGTCATTTTTAGTTTTGGTTTTCCTGAATAAATGCATCTTATAGACGACAAAAATCCTGTAGTGGCTGAGAAAAGGTTCCACGTCGGTTGTTGCCGGGTCCGAATCTCATCAATAATCCAGAATCTCCCTAACGGCTCCCCAAACAGCAATGCCGTAAAAATCCGCAATTTTTATCACTATCTCGCACCTTGGAAACCCAGGAGGTTCAGGTTAAAAAAAATTCCATCTTTGTTTTGCTCTTACTGAACCGGATTTACTAAAACGAGGTTTGCGAGTTGTTTTTCATTTCAGAAGAAAGATGGAAGGGAATAGAAAAAGGCCGACATGCTGAGAGCCGCCTAAATTCTGCTCGATTCACTTATTTTGAAGCTTCTCGTTTTCTTCTCTCTCTTCGTTCAAGAAAATCTATCTTCCATTCCTTTAGTTTTTGTATACCTGTAAAAGGCGCAACGTAGCGTGCGTCCTTGCTTTGTTATTTCCACAGCTTGAAACTGCGTAGAGCAATCTCTAATGTGGGTTTTATAGAAATCTAAAAAAAAAGCGAGCACCACGCTTGGTTTTTTTTAGATTTAGAAATGCAATTTTAGACACTGCATTTAAAATGGGTTCAGGTTCAAATTTAAAAAAGCTCACGGTAGCCTGATATCGGTCCACAGCTGTAGCCCAGTTGTCTCACTGCGACAAATCTATGTTTCGTTTGATTTAATCCAGTCGTTCCAGCTACGCAACAAAGCAAATATACACACTTAGCTTAGCCCGCTTCCAGGCTTTAAACGCAATTAGACGACCTTATAGAAACAAAAATTTCCAACATTCAAAATTACACATAGAAGTGATTTGGTTTCTTTTTGTTCGTTATACAACTAGCTCTCTTTACAAATTGAGAACTTGTTTTTAGATTAACACATGAATATTCGCTTCGTTTACAACCCTAGAATACGTACACCTACGGGAAATGAATATAGGAAGACTTATCTATCGTGTAGTTGAATTTTGCAATATGTATTACGCCTATTATACACCAGGACCGATGCGAAGAAAATCTTTGAAAAAATCTTTCTATACTGCTTTGTTTATGCGCAGTCGAGCAAGGTCGATAGTTTCAATTACGGAATTACTACTACTACTACTAGACTAGACGGAACTACTGGACTAATCTTTACTTGACACAGGAAATTGACTTGCTTATCCTAAAACCGGGTTATCACTGCGAAACATTATTAAGGGACTCACCTTTCAATTTCCTGCGAGGTTAGTTTTTATCAAAGGGTCAACTCTAATATGGGCTTAAGCAGACTTGCTTTTAACACGGGATGAACGATTCAACAGCTCTGTCTCATGTAGAGTTTAGATGGACCGCGTTTTAAACAATGCGAAAAATTAAACTCTTCGATCTTGGTTAGGTTAGGTCAGGTTTTCGAAGGCAGATTTGCAAATTCACTAAGATGGCTTCTCGTGTGCTAGCATAAGATGGAGATAATGGGCGGATTCATTTCGCGGTCACAATGCTAGTTATTTCAGATACCCGAATTACATTGGCGTGATAGTTTAATTTCACAGTAATCATGTGTGCGTGAAAACAATCCAATAATATATGAGATAATACTATAACAAAAATCACTCACTGTAGGCCTACATAAATCCAAAAAGAGTTTAGTCCATTACGACGTTTACGGACACACCTTCGAAAAGTAGCTGTCGAGCTTATGAGTTACCCATCTGTGGCAAGAGAAAGAAATCAGCGTTTTGTGATTGGTGATTCCTCTACGATTATAATCAAACTTCGGATTTAATCGTGTTCGTGAGTGCCATGAATGGCACTTGTGCGGCCCTGTGAGAAATTGTACGTTTACGAATCTTCGCTTCTGATAACTTCCACGTTTCAAATGCCCAATAACGTATCCAATTTTAGCCACAAAGGTTGGCCTCGCATGTCTCTATAACGAGAAGCATTAAGAGTGAGGTAACAAACATCCATCCGACAACACCTGCTTTGGGCTTGTACCGTCTTCATAATGTGTAGGCTCCATAATGCCGTTACCCGGTGATCACGCAAATAATCAGTTCTGTTTCTTCACCGATTCAGTCAAGCAGATACTCGAATCGACCGAAAAAGATTATTTGTTCTACAAAATTAGGAACGTGTTGCAGCGGCCCAGCGGGAAACCTACGACACTTTATGGGATTTGTGATCTTGAGATGCTGGGATAATCGAATCTTATAATATTAAACACCGAGATCTTCGCAAATCACGCGCGATGAAATACCCTACGATAAGCCCCACTGTAGCAATTCATGAAAGCACAGCGGCGTTTGAATTTCTAAACACGTTTCCAACTGCAGTTTTCTACCTTGTAGGTCCTTGGTGAGTGTCCGAGGCGCCAAACAATAAATACAGAGACGTTTTAAACCTTTGGACAAGATGGTTCAAAAACGTCTTGGAAGTTGCACTAGGTGCTATCGTCGCAACAATTATTTTTATGAAAAGAAGCAAATATCCCTAATCGTTTGACATGAAATCCATGATTAAACGAAATGTTCTGCCAGTTCTTATGATGGTGAGTTCATCTGTAACTTGATTGCAGCATAAACATTTGAATCAAGTTGATCCAGCACGTAGTTGTGTCCGCGCCTAAAAATACTTCCCTTTCTCAACTTCCCTCGCTTACGTTCCCCTTGTTCGATCTACATCGTATGTTAGCGTAGTGCAACAGTGTTACGTTCTTAATGCGAAAACTAGAAGGGACATCCCACGGATGGATGTTCCAGGCTAAAAGGATACATTTTCGACACCATCTGTACTGTGCGTTTCGTCAAGGCCAAATCGTTTGCCTTGCCCAAAAAGACATTTGCCTTGTGTACCGTAATAAAGCTATTGGTCAAAGAAGTGCTCAAGAGTGGATTGCCAAGTTCGACAAAATTTCCGGTACCTAGCTCATGGCCCTTGCTCTGGCCGACCGTCTGAGTTTGATGATGCCACATAAGGTATCTGACAAACAACCCGGAAATTGACCTCAGGCTTTCTGAATTCAACGAGAAATTACGACATAACACTGTATCTCAATATCCTGTTTGGTATCGTCATGCAGCCAAAAAGACCGATTTTTGGTAGAACTCTCACCGGCAATTTAAAATTTTGTCGGTACGACAACATGAACCAAAGATCGAAACGGATAGCTCCAAGAAAGAAGATAAGGTACGGGAGAATCTTGATCCAAAAAAGATTACGCTTGGTGTTTGGTGGCATTACGAAGGCCTAATTCATTGGAAATAGCAAAATGGTTAATCGGCACGTTTACTTTCTTTAGCTGCCTAACTGTTTAAGAAAAAAGACCCAACAAACGAGGTAGCCACACACACGACAAAAATCGCCAAGGATACTCTCCTGGACTTCAAATGGAAGGTTTGCTTGCACCCTTTATATTTTTCAGACCTTGCAATAAAAAGATGGCGCGAAGTCGTGAATAATAACAGGGAATACATAATATGATATAACTTATTGACATAGGAGTAAGAAGTAGTGTCGTATTTCCTACCCCGCAAAGGGGCGCCGAAACTTCCTTTCCAACAATTGATATTCTATCACAGATTTGGTGTGCTTTACGAACTCGTATATTTAATTCGACATTTTTACGGTACACAGTAGTGCGTGTCGAAAGCAGTAAGACTAGCTAAAGTAGAACTCAACTAACGACAGGTTCAAAAACGAGCTTAATGTACGCTTTATGAAACGAAACCAATAATACCCGCTTTCACCATATAGTTTCAAATATTTATACACTTGATATATTGAGATGGTAAATGTAATATACCTCATACCATTTAGGCAACGTGTATATGGCGCTAATAAACAAACGGTACCTAATCCACTGAACAATTTTTCCGGGAGATATAATGGATAGCGCGAATGAAAGTACGTCATTACAGCGCACCGTAAGCGTCGTAGTAACAAAGATAAGTTTCCTAAACGTTACTATAGTAAGTTATTTAGAATGCGCCTATTGAGACAAGTAGCTACTGAATAACAATAGCAGTTATAGCAGCACCTGTAGTAGGGAATACAACGGCGTAGTAAAAAGCTTCCCGCATTTCACGCAGTTTGCACCGGTTCTAATGCGGCCAATTTATAACTCCAAACTACCAATCTTCCATACATTGCTCCGTTCGCCGCGACGAACGGCGATTTAGCACCAGTCCACTCACTGGCGGACTTGTTCGGCTCGTCCATTGCCATTTAGCTAGTACTGCTCCTATTGATAGTAGTGACCATGCTGCAAGTGGCGGCGGTGACAGGAGCGTGACGAAACGCACAACAAATGACGATCGAACCTCGCCAGATTTGATTTACATCTAGAATAGGTGATGCACATAAGTAAGCAGAATTTACCACGCGACTCTGATTAAAAGGGTGTGAGTGGAGTTTGTATTTAAGGATATATACACTTTTTTGTACTCTTGAGGGATGCCGTTAGTTCAGCAACGATCGGAATGGGTGGTTAAGCATATTACTTAAGCTTTCAAGCAATATTTTTTCCTGCCTGTAAAGACTGTAAAACCACCATTGCTAGTTCATGCATTCATGGGTCTCTTTACTTTAGGTCACATACCAAATAAGCAGCTATTTCAGCATGAAGTCTGTTAGAAGACGGATTAAGTAGAGCTCACGGCGGTTTTCAAATCAAGCTTGTCCGTTGACTGTTATAACAAATCTACCCAAATATGTCGAATAATAAATCACTGTGTAGGTTGGAAAGTGGATGGGACGTTTGTTCGTCGGCTTTAGCATCCTCAGATCTGTCAGTCCAGTGACATATCGTCTAGAGGTGCTATATAGATATATATAGTTTAAAACACATCTCCGCACTTTATGGTATCGATTACAAAAAAAATGTACCTACTAACACATACTAACCTAACCAGTATTATATTTTCAATAAAAGGTGTTAAGAAGACCGTTGAATTGGTATTGACATGATCTTCATCTTACATCATATTAGACGGGACAGATATTCAATAACCAGTAATTATCAGTACTATTTGAAACAAAAAAAATTCGACGATATGTAACATTTAAGAGTTCTACTATTTAGGATCTCTGCCATTGTGATGGAGGAACGGCTCGAAGTAAGCCAGTTCCAAATGAGCCTAACTGTAAATGTGCTCTGGTCTAATGAAGTTCTAGCTTCGTATAGTCGTAAGAATTTCACAGTAATATTTACAAGGGGTTTTTTTTTAACGTTTTTAGGTAACTACACACTGGCAGAATCTTCACCACATATCGTTATTTTTGACGCTTATCTGTATGCTTCTGAAGGCTAGCTATTCTAGCATGCACCAATATTACTCAACGATTTTCCAAAAGTTTTTTTGACTACAGGTATTATTTAAATGAATATTACCAACAGAAGACAAGAAATCTTCATCGTATAGCTTAGTTTGGCACCTTACGCCGCCGTGAAATAAAAGTATCGAATTCAAATTATGTTGGCTGAGACTGGTTATGGCCTAGATACTCTATGCACCCAACGCGCCAAACGCTGCGTGGATACGACACGAGTTTGATATTCAGCCGATTATCTGTGCACCTGCTTCAGGCCGTTTCATCTCTCTGTTGTAGCAACACGTGAGGGCTGGTTGATTTCGGTGGGCGCTTGCCGCGGTGGCTTCGCATGAACATCATTATCCCGGCCACGCGGAGGTGGGTGCGTTGAGGGGTAACGGTTGGGCCTGCTGACGTGCTTCGAACGCGGTAGGAACGCTACCGAAGCAGCACTATAGCGACCGCGGGCCACTGGACAACCTCACTAGAAGAGAATATAGAGCCAAAGGTTCACCGCTGCGGAGTATCTGCACCCTCAGAAACCTGTAAAAAGAAACTAGAAACGATGATCTGAAGCACAGAATTGTGAGACGTATTTTCGTATCGTTCTGCGTACACATTTTGTGGTAATAGCTTCAACTGCATTTTATGTGTATTGGACATTATTTCGAACGGATAAATTACTTACGATATGGTTGTCTTATCGCTTACACAAGAATTGCTTTTCGATGGCTATTATCATATCCAAAGAGCACGAAGTCGAAAACTCTAGTGAAGTATATGATACACAATTCTATGTTTCTCAATGTCCACAACGAGTAACGTTTGACAGACGATCAACTTATAAAACAAACTACTTGGTGAGAAAAATTTACGTATTTGACATATGGTAACGGCCGACATTGCAGACTGTAAATTAGCACCACTCACAAATAGTGTAATTTGCAAAAGATTGAGGTGCGCCAACATAGAAAAAACAATACCAAGTCATGTGATCTAGTTGAAGTCTCGTAGAGACCTATTCCTATTTTACTTCAGAACTAAGGTTTCAGCGTTAACTGGTCATTTAAACAGGATGTAAAGGCTTTTCGAGTGACAACTCGTAAGAGGTAGCATAATATTTTTTCTTCACATAGTTAATGAAATCTGGTGCATCAGATTATGGGGGGCGGGGGGTACTCTAAATTTCCAAGGTGCGTATGTTCTCATAAATATCTTCGTGGCCTTATTTCTCCATTGCAAAGAGTTGTCGTTTATACAAGTAGACATAAGCTTTGAAAATTGAACGATGGGTTGGTAGTACAATTGCACACCTACCACTGATTTTTGTCTAAAAAGCTGGAGCCCAGCTGACAAAGATCTCATTTCAATAGGAAAAAATTGAGGATAAGGTTAAGTGTAGCAATGCCCGCATTGTAACAAAAACCAAATCGTATCTTATATTCAGCCTGAAATTTCAATTTGTTAAAAAAACACTGTGCGACCGAACTTTGACATAGTTGTAATCTTGAATGAAAATCAGGCTTCCCGTGATTGAATTTTTCCCAAATTTTGTTACATGTATGTTACCGTATGATGTAGCTGCTTATCATGTCACATATACAGGAATAAGAACCTGGCGCTATACTGTCCAAGACTAATATGATATCGTCAAGTCAAGACTAATGCTCCATCACTAGCAGAAAGTGGCGTACCGTATCTTCAATGGCTCACGGTGGCTATTTCTATGTATATGTCTTAAGGCAGGGTCCTTTTCGTAAAGCGATTAGACCACACGACTACTAAGTTGATACTAAACTTAATCCTCTTAAAACCTAATTATCGGAAAGGATTGCTACGCATATGCATTGAGCTTTTGAAGCAATAAAATCTATAAATATGTACCATTGGTTTTCTAAGCGATTCTAACAAAATATAGAATTATCTAATAATAGGAACGTCATTCAGTTCAGGTTATGTTGTTTTCCACGTCATGCTAGGTACCTTTCATATATTATCCTTGAAACGATTTTCGCTTTACTCTCCTTTTCTCTACAATCTGCTTTTTTTCCCACTGTGGTTCATTGCGGCTCTGCAAACGGATAAGTGAGCCGTGGAAGGACCTATATGGCCGTTTGTCCCCAACCATAATTTCAGCTTCTTGGACAGCAGCTGCGGCGGTTAGTATGATGCTGCTGCTGGATCCGGCAAAAAAGTAAAAAGGAGCGTTTGGAGAACCTGAAGGTCGATAAGATACTAGCGGCAACGTAGAGACTCATTGCATCGTTTGTCCCTCTCTGTTAAAATCAGCCCATAGAGGTACATCAGAGGTGCTATATGTCGCCCCTCCCGTTCCTGGCGGCCGCCAAACGACCGCGACAAAAGAGCGTCGTTCTAAGGGGTTTTGCTTGCCTTCTCTCTTTCGCAAACAGAAATACTTTTTCTCCAACATTTTTCTTTGAATGATTTCTTCGAGAAGCGATTATTGAAGCGGACTTCTCATATTTGCTTTAAACGGTACCCTTTTATCTTTCCTTTTAACAAGATAAATTCAAAATATAGTTTACAGGCAATAAGTTGTAATTGAATAGATTTACGTAATAGACCTATATATGTGTAGCCTGGTGGTTTTTCAAGCAGCCATATTCAGTTTGTTTTTGTGGCCTCTTCCTTAGTTAGTCAAGGGTTCAGTAGCCGAGTTACTACTTTCTATAAACATATTTCCACTACGCACTTATAGTGACGCTGGGTGGATTTCTAGTCGACAAACGACAGCCCATCAGCCTTTCGGAAGTGGGCATGCCTTTTTTCTTAATACGCCCCTTGGAAGGCCACCCCAACGGCCAACCATGTGTGCTGTTGGTGCCAGCCACCAGGTGATGAGCTAATGATTCGTGTCATTTTCATATTTGCAGCAAGAGGGTAGCAGAAGGGGACTAGAAGAGGAAAAAACCACTACGACATAATGCAGCCTGCGCCCATAGGTGTTCGTATTTAACATCGATCCTCGCCTGGCTTAGTGTACTCATAGCCGTTCCCTTAGGCTGTTCAGTATATCTGCGTCGCTGGACGCAAATTAGAAGCAAGCTAAAAGCCTCGGGCTG